TCCCCTGTGTGTGGAAAATACTGAACTAGTTAAATACTTCCTTCGGGATAAAATGGACCATTATGTTACCTGGAAAATGCTCATTGTCCATCTCTAATCTTTAAATGCTCAGACTGAACAGTAATTTAAAACTGTGTAGGTGAACTGAGAAATTTGTATATGCTGTGTGTTAATCATACATTTGAATGTAACTAGTAGATACACAACTGAACAGGATCAGAACTGTGTGAGGTTCACTAAGATGAAAGTGTAAATTTAGACTTACAGAATGTTTGTTGGCAATGAATTGTTATATATGATTCGATAGATATTTTCTGTCTTCTGGACTCATGGCTCCCCATATGTGCCCATATATCAAAGAAAAGGAAGGTGTTTACAATAAGCATATTTTACTGTAAGCAGAATCTTGAGGTAGTTTAAACAAAAATGCAAGTCTTTCTTGGGGGGAAATGGTGGTATAGCATATATGGAAAATGGTTACTACTGGAAGTGGGGAGGGGGCTTCATTATACCAAAAGGTGTTTAAAGCATTTTAAAAAGCCTTGTTATTTGTTTTTACATTAAGTGAATCAACAGACTAGTAAATCTGTTCTTTGTAAGGGACCAACATAAAATGTATAACCTCTAAATTAAAAGAACCATTTCCTAGAAAAACCATGTAGGACAACCATAATCAAAATGCTTGTATAACACTATGGTAAAATTTCTGTCCTTAATGGGAACCCAGTGTGTGGAGTAGAAAAACATACAAACATACAAAAAGCATACAAAGCATACGTATGGCAAGTTGAGAGACGAAAATGCTTTTCACTTAATAGAACAGATTTTAATATTATTAAAACTTTTATTTTGCGTATGACCAAAATGTGTTGATGTACAATAAGGTAAGTGTATTTCCAAATTCAAATATATGAAGTTAATTCAGTGAGGGTCCTAAAATTCAAGTGTGAAATGTCAGTTTAGTGAGAATAAAGAATTTGCATTATGTAAAGGGAAAAGAAGAAGAAAATCTGTACCAATACACAATTGTATATCTTCATCATACTTGTAACTTCAAAAGTATTTGTTGTTCAGCCATTTGACAAACAATCTGATGAACTGATCCCTATGAGGCACAACAACTGAGTGAGCTAAGATTGCATTTGTTCTGGTACTTTGGCTATTGTGCTAATGATGGGTGTTATACTACTTACTGTGACTTACCACACTTGTTTCCATATCGACATGGCTTAGAACATACTCAGCTGCAGAAATGTGAATTACTGAAATTTTTGGCTTAACTTCCTGTAGGATTTTAGAAACAGTATTGAATATTACATAAAAACATCATTATAAGTGGAATAGAAGCTATTTCAGGTAGTATAAAACTGCATGCTTGAAAGAACACCAGCAACTGACTGCTCAGTGTAGCTGATACTCCTTTGCTCTAACTTCACATGTGCAGAATGTGAGTAATCTTCAGTTCATTTTACAGTGAATGGAGAGAAACAGCAACTTCTAGGAAGTCATTCACTGACATTAAATATTTACTTGGGATGAAAATAACAGTACCATAAAGTAACTATTTCTTAGCACTGAGTATAAAGGAGTGTCTGGTGAGGATGTGCACTGTCTGCATTTGGTACTGTGAATCCCACCCATTATCATCAAGGTAGCTAATGCATTTCTGTAGTACATAAAAGAAACACATAAACTACTTATTTCATATTACTTAAAGTATTATATATATGATGTATTACATATATTATTATGTAATTATTTTTATATTTCATGCTCAAATACTAAGGTACTTAAAAATTTTATAAGAGAAGTCTATGAAGTGTAAGTTATTTATAGTCAAACTGTTACCTGCGAAGAAAAGTTTTAGGTTTGATGGCCTCCATCTCTTTTAGCTGTGTATCTGTTGCCCAGTACTGATAATGCACTACTAAGAGGTGTTTCTTTAGAAGTTGCTGAATGGAAAGACTTAACAAATGGTATGTTACAATCTGCCATTATGTGTAGTGATATACAGCTGCACTTCAGAGGTTTCCTAGTTAGACCTAGTCACAGCTCCTGCATTTTCACAAGTGGTTATTGCGTAATACCAGTTAACATCTGAGCACATTTCAACAACCTTGACTCTTGTAGCTTACTCAGAGAAAGAGCTATAAGCAGACATTGAGATCCAGAAGAATATTACCCTATTCTTGTCCTTTTCCTATAGTACCACCTTCTCTTGTCCTCGAAGACAGTATTTTATGTGAGAAGTGTTTCACCCAGCTGTAGGCATTTACAATGTGGACATCCATATTTGGGCTAATCACTTTAAATGTCCTTTGGAGAGCAATAGGCTATTAAAGAACCAAAATTTAGATATCTACT